TATGTTTATATAGTTTGTATACATTGTATAGATATGTCGTTTTTATCGTTCCTCAGATAAAACATAGAGTCAATGATACTAGAAGACATCATCATGATTTCATTTGTCACTTATAAAAGAACTTACAAACGACAAATACGATCATTATGCTAACCTGTAGTATCATTATTTTACTCTATCTTCTACCTGAGGAATAATAAAAATAATATATCTATATAATTTAAATGAACTTATAAATAATAAATAAGGACATGATGGCGTCCTAAGATATTATTAGGACTGTATTTTGCTGTGGAATAATAAAAACGATATATTTATATAATTTAAAGTGAACTTATAAGTGATAATAAGGTCATGATGAAGTCCTTATGATATTATTATAACTTCTGTGTTCTACGTCATACATATAGAAGCAGTAAGCGATGTTTTGATGAGGTTATCGTTTAATGTAAAAATTATATGAATCAAGGGAAAAAGAATTTCTTAACAGCAAAAATAAAAGGCATAAAAGTATCAAGAGTACATTATTGCTCTTTGCCCTGTAATCATTATACTGCGCTATCGTGTACGTTGTACGTCATACATCCGCATTGTATGTACTATGCGTGGACAGTATGATATATGTACGTGCACCGACCGGTGCAATTGCACGTGTAAAGCGAGCGGGTGAAAGGGAGGCCGATGACGGGAGGCTCGTCGAACGCGATGCGGAACATAGGAAGAAGGAATGACATTACCGGATTGTGCAATAGATATGCGCGACGCTACGTGAATCAACTACTCGGAGACCGAACGAGGTGGTCGGAAGTAATTAGTCACGATTTTTTTCCCGCTGTAATTGGTGTCGTGCAGACTGAGTGATTTACGTGGCGAATTTTTACGCGAATGCGAATTAATTCGCGTGTGTAATATGATGATGACTCGCGCTATTGTACTGAATGAAAAAAAAAACAAATACTTATTAATAGATACAATCGCGATTGATGTAACGAGATGAAAGGCATGTTGGTACATCAGCATTATGAAAGCTTCGAGCGTAACTTTGAGTAAAATTGATGAGCATTAACTCTCTGATTAAGGCGGCTTCAGATGACATGGCCAATGCACGTCAACATTAATAAGTATTAAATGCACACGTATACACACATGACTGACATGACATGCATAATTATCCATACGAATATAGGTCAGTATTTAGCGAATGTACATAAAGTTGGCGTGTATTGTCCAAGCCGCCTTTAAATATAAGAAAATATCTAAGGTATACATAGTTCGTTTTTATTGTAAAACCGTTTTAAATAATATCTTAAAATGCTAATACGACTTCGTGATTAACTTACGACATCTCAAAACTGTACTTAATATGGTCTTAAATATAAAAACCAATTATGAATACTGGCTTAAGTCTACTCTCTAAAAGTGAATCAATTATCACTGACTTCAATGCTACACTTATAATTGTAATATCAACGAATATTTACTATTTTTCAGTAATAATACACTGATTCATTTTGAGAAGTGGTTTCTACAGATTGAATCTGCAGAAAATCATAATCTCTAAAATCAGTGTATTATTACTGAAAAACAGTAAATATTCGCTGATAACTTCAGTGCGACACTTATAACTGATGTAATCAATAATAACACACTAATTCACTTTTAGAAAGTACGTAATTTTATATGAAGTTATGATATTATATTATACTTATATAATTCTTTAATATATATATAAATTGAATAACATAATTAATTGAGTAACATGATTAATTAGCAAGCGTAAATATATATGTTTAAATATATGTTTCCTTTATTGCGTTTCAATTTTTATGTAAAGCATGCAATTATTCGCACAAATGAACCGTAGAGCGGAGCAAAGAGCCCGTCGCGCTCGCAATGGTGCTAAACGTCATGTTTGTTGCACGAAAGAGATTTACGATTGCAGGTGATTACGCAGGCTCGTCTTGAAGACGACGCGCGATTACCGAGCAGTAAGATTACCCAGCAGCGACGATTATGTATTCTTAATAGGATGAAGCGCAATCTGCTTATACACCGCCGTGACAGAACTCTCGCGCTGTTGTTGGATGCTTACAAACTCGCCTAATATCTGTCTATCCGGTCGCGGGACGAACGAAGCGAAGCTTCGTCACCGCGATCGAAACTCACCGAAACTCGATTTTCGTAGCTTGTTGACAAGTCGCCGTCCTGGGGAAGTCTCAAAAATTACATTATTATCCGGCTGTCACCCGACTGTCAGCGAGCGTAATGAGAGCAGACGTTCTCTTCTGCGGAGACCGCGTTGTAACGGCGAAATTCCGCGGCATGAAAACTGGCAGGTGCATCATGTTAGGAGAAACACCTCGCCGGAGGCGTCATACTCCTCATCCAAGTAATAACGGACTGTAACGTTCACCAATGACGAAAGAAATTTGATTGTATGATTGTACGCCGCCTGCGTTGCTACGACCGGTCGCTAATGATTCAACAATTACGAAAGTTCTTCTCCGAGGCTAAACTATCGTTCACGCGTATTTCTCCGGTACCTTTTGCAATAATAATTAACAATCTGTAAGCTTCGATTGTTGTTTCACCGCTCAGAGTTATTTAGAGCGTACTGTAATGACGCAATACGCGTGGCGTGTCACGATGACTCTGGTTAAAATATTCGTATCATTTGGTACTTCAACGAATATGCACAAAGTTCCGAGACTGTTTTACAAATGTTGCTCTCCGCAATAACGCGGCATGCATTTATGCATGTACAATTATTCGAATGCAAACTCGTTAATCTGTTTTAGACGCGGAGCTGCTCGCGTCGCAAAAATCATAAACGATATTTTTAAACAGATGCGAAAACGAACGGGCGTTCACATTCCTAAATGTACTGCACAAAAGTAACAAAGCCGAGATAAAAGTTTATTATTAATATTAAAGAGAGTATAAAATTGTATAAAAATTAAAATTCCATAAACAATAAACAAAATATTCATTTAAATAATTTAAATATCTGTCGTTTATTTAAAAGATTGGCATACTCAATATTCGAAAAATTATTATATTCGAAATTGCTATATTTAAAAATCAATATGTTAGATCGATGTTTAAACGATCATAACGTAAAGTGTAATTGAATTCTCAATTCTAGCAAAGGAGAGTCTAGCAAAGTTAGCGACAAAATCGTAATTCGCAATTTGCCGGAAAGTCAGACCGACTTATTTTTGTGAAGATTTCCGCATGGTTGAAAACGTTTCAGACACACAAATGTTGGCCCGAGAGATAAAGTTACATTAAAATCAAGAGGAATAAATTGGAGTTCGACGGGAATTCGCTCGGACAATTATCTTGGGGACGAAGCAGCTCCAATTAAATGAGCTTCCTGCAGTTCCCGTCTCGCAAAAACGGGATCTCCGATGCTAATTAGCAAAGTCTATGCTGGAAGTGAATTTCATATCGAGTTGTAATCGAGTAAACAACGGCCTTAAGTAGTTCGAGCGTGCTATCTGCTTCCACGATTTCTTCGTGACCTGACATTCAATCGCGATATTCGCCCGTCGGGGGCACTCGTCTCGCCTTATAACGACGCATAAATGTCGTGAACTGAATGCAAATAATCCCGAAGAATCGCTCAATGCAACGAACGGAGCCGCGATAAACGTCGGATATATGGAAAATAAGCGTGAAAATGTAGATTGCGTTTTATCACTTATTATTACGATTAAAATCGTAATTACAATCCAAAATGCGTAAAGATTTGAATTTTCTTTATTTACTGTCTCTCCATTTTTTAAAAGATTCAATAATTCATTCGCATAAAAACGTTTAAGTTAATTTAATATATAAAATTAATATAATTCTGAGATTGTTTGACATATAATATACCACAGTGAAAAAAATTTTGTTCATTTTTGGTCCAATGAATCGTTAATCAATGTCCGACTTAATGTCCGACTCATTGATACACAATAACTGGATTCATTTATACAACTATATATTCATTCTTGCAATGAATTCTAGGAATAGTTTTATAATCAAAATCATTATGAGGATTCATTGGACCAATTTTCATTATTTTTTCATAATTCAATGAATATTTTATTGTATTTACGTACAGTTTCGATTCAGTGCAGAGTGCACTTATCTATCTGGTTATTTAAAAAGGACAAGAAGTCAAATATAATAAATATGTTTGCACAATTTGAATCTGCAAGCTAACTGAAATATTTGCTTATTCGGTTTACGAACGAAATGCGCTTGGAAATATTCACTATTAATTCGCTATCTGGCATTAAATTTAAATTCGTTTTTACCACATCGACTTTTATTGATTTAACATAGCATTTCGGAGCATAGCTGCGCCATTTCGTTCATGGAATCGAAAGAGCCGATTATAGCACAATAGAATATTCCATTACCTAACTTCAATAATCCGGTTTATAGTTATAAATAAACTACTTTGAGAGGATTACGAATGGCAGCTCTAACCCGTAGTTAAACAGCAATTCTAAATTAAGAGAGATTTATGTGTGTCCGACAGTATGTAATTATACCATTCCATAAAATATTCAATTAATGAAAATGACGGATAATTATATCGATCACTATTTAATTCAAAAGTTAATCGCAATTGTAAAGTTAAGTTATAATCATTAAGAGTTGTCTTAAATCAGATTCAATTGTAACAAGTGTATTTGCATTGAGTGATTATTAAACGAGAAAATACTTTGCTAAGGAGAATAATACAGAACGATTTCTTCGCGAGAACTCTTGAGACAAGAACTTAATTAAGAAATATAATCACCTTCACCGCAATCAACACAAGGCTAAAAATTGATATCAGAAAGTTAACAGAAATTTTATAACATATATTTTGAACGATAAACGTTGATGTAAATTTTTTACGACAGCTCGTCGCACTGTGTAAATTCAAACTTTATATCCGCGATGTACGAACAAGAAAGAAAAAGTGATTCGCTAATTTAAAAAAATAATATCGCACTCACTTGGGAAACTGCGTGCACAGGCGACGAAGCACGCCGCAACGAGAAGAACTTGGACGAACGTTTTCATCCTGTCGCACACAGGGAACGTCGGCAACTCGTAAACTGTCAAGAATCGCTTGCTACCTCGACGATGTCTCGATCGACACTAACCGGTCCACCCGAACGATGGCTGTCACGTACGACTGGAAAGGATCAAGGTTACTCGCCAGACCAGACCGGACCGGACAGTGGAAAACACCGACGCTTTGCCCCGCGACTTTTGCCCGCGCCGCGGCTATATGCGATCCCCCGATCGCGGCCGCACCAATCAGTGCCGATCGGTCGTCACGTGGTGCGCGTCACGTGATCGCAGCGCGCGATTTTGAGTCACGTCGCAGCTTTTCTTGGTATCGATGATCCTTATAATTCTACATCGCCATCGGAATAGTAAATATAACGCATGGCGTGCACAAACAATCGTATTTTTGATTTATACAACGCTCTCAGTCGAGTCGACGAGCAATTGCGCATGTACTAATAATTATACCAGTACCAGACTAAACATAATACATGAGTAACACTTTTGTTCCGGATAAACGCCGCGAACGTTATCGCGCCTGTCGTCAGCTTAGTTCGAAAAATCATTACTCACGAGACTTTCCAAGAAAAAAAAAACGCTAGAAGATAAATGGCGCGAATAACAGTTTCAAGTTTAGGCCGAGACGTTGAGAAATTATGTAATCTTGATGAAAACAGGTCAAAGGAGGCGGTGGCTCGCATCGAGGATCCTTATCATACGCACGTGGTGTGTACACGGTGATATGCGCACGCAACTGTATACGTGCGTAATCGTGTGTGCGTACATCCTCTTGCGTGTGTACATTACGTGCGGGTTATTATTATTATTATTATTATTACAGAAACCACACGGTGCAACGATGGCGGGCGAACTAGCTCAGCGGAACACGATAATTATCGTGCGTCTCACAACAAGCTTGTGTGTACACGCGGGCCGCTTTACGCACGCATCGGTGTACCGCTTGCCATGCCTGCGCGCTTTCGCGTAAGAAGTCTGTTACATGAACCGTCGAGAAACTTCGGAACCAGACGAGACTTGCCTGACGAGATGCTTAACCCTGAGACACGCACGAGCTACTTTTACAACCGCGAAAACGTGATAAATTACTTCGAATAATTGCTGCCGAGTTTTAGTATCACTAGAAATGTTAATCTTCAAGATTAATTCGCTTTTACAAAGAGATCATTTTTAATTATACTCATAATTCTCAAAAATTATTTCGAGATATGAATAAAGATGTAAACAATGAAAAAATACTAGAATTTTAGAGTAAAAAACTCGGGAAATATGGTTTTTTTCCTTCGACTTTGACAGTTTTTTACTCTTTTATTATATTTTTTTAACATTATTTTTTTTAACATTTCACAACATTTTGATACTGTACTGTATTGTTTCAGAATTTAGTTTTTGCACTTATCCGTAAGATTTCTGTGTAAAAATAGTTACAAAAGTTAAAAATAAAGTATAATGCCGGTGACTATAAATATACCTTACTTTTCACTATTATTTGAATTTTAATATTTTATACTATACTTCTATTTTAAAAGTTAAGTAAGGGTTCCATACTGTTATTAATACAAATAATACTTTATTAGACTAATTGACACCGTTTTTGTCATATACTGTGATTGTAATTATACGTATTCTATAGTAAATTGAAATTAGTGAGACAACGTTCATCGAATCTCTAATTACTCTTGAATCAATACTATATTAGGATGTAGTCTTAAAATAATGAAAATAGAGAGTACAATTATAACTAATAATATGCAACAAAAGTGGCTATTATGTTTATAAAGTATTATCTGTATTAATAACATCACTTATTTAGCTTTTAAATATAAAATATCTGTCGTTCAAATAATTATATTGAAATAACTATATGTTTTTTTCATGATTTTTATGTAATTTGGCCAAAAAACCGATATTTACAGAAAAAAACTAGTTTTTTTATTTTTCTCCGTAGTAAAAAATACTGTTTTTTTCATCTCTAGATATGAAAATGCAAAGCAGCAAAAATGTTTACGAAAGTTTGTAATTCTAGTTTAGTTGTAATTCTAAATCATTAAGTTAATTATTAGTTTTAAAGATTACACATGAATTTGCAGTGTAATCTTTGTTTTTACAAAAAAATTATTTAAAAAAAAATACCTATAATACTTAAAAATTATATTAAGATATGAAATGCAAAGCTACACAAACTTTCTTTGCGAAGATCTATATTGAAAGGGTACGTACTCGAGAATATATTTGCGTTTCAAAGTTAATGTAAAGGTAAAATATGTTCAGAGTAAAAATTACGTCTTTTCAGTGCGGCGTTCCAGTATTCGCATAAGCGACCTATAAATTTCGTAGTTACATGTTGATAAAAGTAATTGTGGGGTGGAATTATATGCGATCGGACCTTGTGATTGTTTAAGTCAGGGCCACGTATGTATTTATATAATCAAGTTATTTTCTAAGAGTAGTTGGAATCGTGTAATTTTTTTTTTCATATATTTTTTCCATCGTTTGAAATAAGGTATAAGCTACAAACACGCACTTCGCTTCGTTACTTTGATAAATTTTCTATGCACGCTATTCACAAATGTTCTGCGCAAAAACGTAGCAAAAATAGATACAAACGATTTATTGTAATAGATAAATGTAGTATTATGCGACCATTTTATCATTTCTCTATCGCGTATGAATTTAACCTTGCACTTATTATCGCTTTAGATATTTCCGGCTATCGTAACATATAATTGCTGCTACTTGCTAAAAGATATCGTTTAACGCTGAGTTAGCGCGCAACGGAAGTTAAAACAATAAACATATCAAATGTATCAAAATCGCTGCCCTAGATAAATATAAAAGTTTATAATTATAATTTGAATTAAATTAATTTAATTAAAAACATATCTAGCTTAGTTAATAATTAAAATTTTAATTCATCATTATTTTGATTCTTTTTGTCTAATACTGAGTTAGCAACGGAAGCTAAAGTAATAAACATATTAAACGGATTTATTGAAATCGTTGCCTTAGGTAAATAAAATTATATAAAATTATAATTTAAATTTTAATTAAATTAATTAAAAGCATATTTTACAGTTCGAAATTTCAATTTACCATACGTAGAATAATTTCAATTTTTTTTAGAAAAAAGGTATTTGAATAATTAAATCTTAAATATACTACGTTATAATTCTCCAAATGTGAATTAACGCTAAGCAATAATAGACCTTTGATTAGTCAGGCGATTTGAAACAATTGTTCTGTTTTTCTTTGATTCAGATTTCTTAGAAAGCGACTATTGAAGCAGTCTTTATTTCATAATATTTTCTTATCTACTCATCATAAGAAACAATTTTTTAACCACATCATCGAAATAAAATGAGACCTTGCTCATGCTATAACTGCATCAGCTATTGTTCGCCGATGCGATTAGTCACAAATGGACAAATGTGCGATGCGTTAATAACGAGAGAGAAAAAGGAACATAGATACAGAGAGAGAGAGAGAGAGAGAGAGAGAGAGAGAGAGAGAGAAAGAGAGAGAGAGAGCTTGTGGGCTCGCCTGGGTCGAATGCCGTTAAGTCGTGCGTTCAGTGACCGCATCGACACACGGTGGCCTGCAAACAACAGACAGTTTGATTAAAAGTAATTGCGTATGTCCAATGTAGCCAGGATTTGGACGAATTTTCGAATCGGTCGCGTCGCGCGCCGCATCGCGCCGTGTTCATTCACAGGCCGCTGGTAATTTCGCGAAAATGCATTTCACGGGTCGATTGCAATGTGGATCACGCTGTTGTTTTCGGCTTCGTGCCCGCTTCCTGCGAATCTTCCGGCCTGAGCGTACCAGCAGCTATAATTTATGATGCGGAAGAGCCGGTATAATGGCCGCGTGCAAGCCGAAGGCGACTGCTCTCGTCGTCGTGGACTCTTGCCACTATAAAGCGCGCGAGCAATCGGCTAAATGTATTTAACGGCACGTCGCAAGACACACCGTCCATAATTTAAATTCCACATTCAGTTTCCTATATTCTGAACGGATTCACAAACGCCAAATTCTAGAGAAAGTTTTGCACATCGCGTCAATATTTGTCAGCGTTTTAATTATAAAGAAGACATTATTTATAATATGACAGTAACAATTCTAATACGATAATGTTTTCTAAATTACCCGAAAAGTTGACGTAAAAACCTTTATTATTGCATATTTAATCACCACACTGTGTTATGATTATCGTATATTCTTTAATAATTTCACGACAAATATCGTTAATGCGATACGAAGATATCACTATTGTACTTTATTTGCTATACTTGTGTGTGTTCTCATTAAAATATAGCCTTCAGCAATTTTCGTAAAGAAGATAAGATATATGTTAGCTATGCACGTCATGATAAAATTTTATGATATCTTTTTATTTAATTTTTAAATCACTGTGACCTGTTGGTTTTTAATTGTAATCTGTATCTTTATTACGTAAGCATTTTTATTAATTATCCTGCACGCTTTTCGTTGTCGATATTATACAAATGTAGTAAGAATTGCCGCAGGTATGAGTTAAAAAAAGATATTTGCGCTTGCTGTTGGCAGTATATCCGGTATATCGTATGAAGATCTCGAGCTGTGAATATATCAACGTGTTTTTATTTCTCTTCGAGACTGCATCTTGATTTTGAAATGTAAATGAGAATATCTCTCTGCGTCGTCGATCTACCTTTACATAATGTAAATTAGTATTATCACAGAAATAGCTAAGACATTTGCGAATTTCCAATAAGTAGCGACACGTAACTTACTGCTATAAATATGTAATTACTTGTCTAGAGCGACAGGTGTTTCGACTTTAAAAGATAAGAACGCATTGTATTTGTAAAAATTACTATCGTCAGACAAAAATATGGTGAGAATCATAGTCTATAAATACACTAATGCGTCTACTTCAATTTTAAATTATTGTCCACTTGCGCACAAAGCAATCAAATGTTTTGTAAACTGTTACCGAGACATTTCTGCAAAGTGACACCAGTTTTGAAAAGGTAATGAGAATTTTTTTGTCGTAATCTGCTATATATTCGTAATCTGACAAACGCATTAGCTCGTTAAGGGCAAGCGATTAAACTTTAGTAATTCCCCTTTGAAAAGCTCGAGACTAAGTCGATTAAGGGTAACTAGCATCGTATACAAAAGTTTCTATATAAATACAGAAAGTAATGCGACAATGGATCATCATTAAGAAATATAAGATTGCAAAAAAAATATATATATATATACAATAATGTTAAAGTGTTTTGTAACGCAATTAAAAATACAATTGTTATACTTATCGCTCGAATGAAATATATCCTCTCGATAACATGCGCGCATTAAAGTCATATTTGAACGATGTTAACCTCATAATACTCATATTATCTCTCGTCATATTTACTCCCTTAACGTCGTATTAGCTTTTCCGCGCACACAGGTATTGGGACGAGGCACCGGTGAATGAGTCAGTGACAAATAAGCGACCCCCGTCAAGACCGGTACCGGTTAGATCGACGCGCGACGCAGATGTTGAGTCATTCGTGCTAGGAATATCGTAATTGCCTCGTCCGTACACGTACATAGATGCATTTCCCTCCGTCGTATATGCACAGATAGCGATGACGCGTCCGGCATATTATATTTCTCGTCGTCGGCGTTTTTCATTTGTTCTTCCTTCTTCAAACTAACGATCTAAGTTTCCTGTTGAATTTGCATGTGATACGTCAGCACGAATAAACCTGGGTTGGTAAAGACTGTTTTTTTTTTTTAAAATAAAACATTGCATTTCTTCTTAAATATGTTTTTAATGCTTCAAATATGCTTTAAATAATACTATAAAAAAACATTTAAAACATATTAAAAATATCAATTAAACATGTTTTAAACTGTTTAAAACACGTTTAAAACATGTTTTTTACCAACCCTGACAATAAATCAATTCTTTTTTAAATTCTAATTAAATAAGAGAAATCCGATATTAGATTAAAACGGATCTTAGTACTTAAATATTTCTGTGTGTGATTTTATGTACATATCTGAAATTATTCGTAGATTTAAGATCAGATTATTAACATTTTATACAAAATGCTTATTAGCATAAAAAATTAACAAATTGCTTATCAATTTAATAAGTGATGTTACTTAATACTGCTCATGATTGCGTTTTAAGATCGAAAAAGATTTTGGCGCGCAGTTTGCAGAATCAGATATGTACACAAAAATTACACAGAAATATTTAAGCATTAAGATCCGCTTTGATCGAATATAGAATTTCTCTTATTTAATTAGATTTATTCTCATCAGTCCAAATTCGTATCATATTTTTTTTAATTTATTGCAAAAAATAATGCGATCAAATATACGCGGCTCACGAATAAATTACGCAGTCGTGGCCGTAACTTTGCATCAATTCGACATTTGACGATAATCCTCTCGTTCATATTTGTATATATATATATATATAGATATTGAATATATTACGGAGTCTCTCGCGTTTGTCAAACCAGCGTGACAGTTTGCGGGAATACATTTTATTGTATATATTACGGCGTCAGATACCAGCAAACGTTATCTCTTT